CCACCCTAATGTGAACAAAAATAATTTCATTTCATACGTGGAGAGACATTATTAGAGTATGAAAACTATTCTTCAGCGTACCAAGTAAAAAAAAAAATAATTTCTTTGAACCCCCCCAACTCACTGTACATACAAAGTTTATACTCACTTGAAGAATTTGTCAAACATGACTTCATCCACTTGACTAGGTCCCGTACCATACAATTTGGTTACTTGATCCATTTCGGGCACATAGCTGTACAATGCACGGAATTGACAGCCGGCATCGCGGAAGAGCACGAGAAAATGTTTCGCTTCGGAGCGTGCAATCTTCTCCAGTACTTTTTGTTTGGCCTCACGATTCACCGCACCGGGAAAAACGCAATATTCGACGGCATTCAATATGATGCCACGATTCGATTTGGCCGCTGGTTGCTTATACAGTTTCGGACCTGAGAGAGCGAGAGCGTAAACTATTTACTATAGAAATATGAAAATATTTTTTTTTTTGTGTTTACAAAGACTTAATGTTTAGGACAGATTACCCATATACTATATGTATGTGTATAAACGGTAATTATCAAGTAAGTTACATAGGTACGGTACAAGTGTAGCAACAATAAACTGCAGTTAACGGTAATATTAAATAAATTAAAATATTACAATTTATTTACTAACAACTTTAATAACTTATGAGTAGAATATATTACTAAATTTATGAAATATTTGGAACTCAACGAGGCTATAAGTTTAGGGAGCATACTTATTAAAAAAGTTTAAGGTTAGGTATGTAGTAAAAAATAAAAGTATACTTTAATTGAAGCTAATATAATAATAACAAATATTACCAGATTTGATACAGAAAAATTGTTTACCAAAGTTTTATAAAGGTAAAAATAAAAAAAATTTATAAAAACAAATGTAAACTTAAAATTAAAAAAAAAAATAATAATTGACTATTTTTCACCATCTGATTAGATTTGATTAAAAAATACGAATAATTTTTTTTTTGGTCACACTAATGTTCGTATCTAGTTTAGGAAATTTTTTCGAAATATAAAAAAAAATAGTTAAAAGTATAATAATTTGCCTATTTTTTACTATCTAATAAGATTTGATAAAAAAAAAAAAATTTTTTTGGTCACTCTAATGTTCGTATCTAGTCCAGTAAATTTTTTTCCAAATACCCACAATTGCCTATATTCAGATTGGATACAG